AACTTTCTCGCGAGAGGGAGTGATCGAAGTGTGGGAGTTTTTATGTAGTGGCTTTGTGTGCCCATTCGTGTGTAAAAGCAACCAATCAAAGAAAAGAATAGCAGAAGCAAGGGGCCGGTGCATTTTGTGTAAAAACAACAAAAGCAAAAACACTATGATGGTTTTAAAAATGCTCTTTAACGTGTTTGATTTTGTTTCGTATGCAGTTGTGGGTTAAGATACAACAACGCCATAAAAACTAAAACCAAACGAGTACTCGGCAAGAGTAGAATCTGCTCGGCTTCTAGCGAATTTAGCTCCCACCCTGAAATGAGCGAAGCGTGCTTGAAAAATGCCGTTTTGCTCGATTCATATCTACTTTCAGGAGTGCTTCCTCCTCAATTCGAGTGAGTTCTGTTTTAGCTCCAATTCGAGCGAGATTTTCGTAGGTCTGATTGGGACAGGTATCCAGGGTTATGATACAAATGCACTTTTAGAAATTCGAAATACTAAAAATAATTACACTGGCACTAAATGGCACACCATTGTATTTATCTAACGCCTAAGACTAAAAAATCGCAGTAGCTGGCTTCGTTATTGCTGCAGTCTTTTTGGGCTTAGCAGTTGCAGTTTTTGCCTTAGGTGCCTTTTTAGTGGTCCTTTTGGTTGACGTTCGGAATAATGAATACTATTTGTGTGTGGCATGTCAAGCTGTATTTTTGGCCTGAATCTGCGAGGCATCCGGTAGTTATTTTGTCATAAGATGACAAAGATGTATTTTTCGACTGAATCTATGAGGCATCCGGTCGTTATTTTGTCATAACATGAGCCAAAACTCCACCTATAAATAGTTATGTTTGCAGGACATTATATTCGGCCAGGCCCAAATTAATTTTGCTCCTACTGCTCTAAACTCCGAAGTGGCGTAAAAAAAATTCGACACGTCATATATACAGATTTTTATACCCTCAGTCATATGAAAACAGAGGGTATATATCGTTTGATACGGTCAAAACGTGCCTCGTCGGAATAAAGATTTCAGTCTATTTGCATGGCTGTCTGGTGCGCACTAGCTATCGAAGGGAATATCCGATTTGGTACGATGAACCAATATTATTATTAAACTTAGATCGAGTTCGGGATGGGTAATGTATGTCCACTCCTTCTGATACCTCCTCCACAAAAGGTCAACATCTTTACAGAAAATAATTTACTACTACATCAGGTACCTCCCCCACAAAGAGTCAAAATTTCGAATAATTATAACTCTTATAAAATTTGAAATAACAGTCCGATTGTCTTCAAATTTTACACATCTCATATTTCTACCAACACCAGATCCGGTGTGATGATGGGATATATCGATCCACTACTTCTGGTACCTCCACCACAATGGGTCAAAATTTTGAATGGCCATGAAGCTCGTAAGCTTCCGATCCCTTTCAAACTGCGAATATCACAATATATTTATCAATACAAGATCTGTTGTGCGGATGGATCTTGTCGGACCACTCCTTCTAGTACCTTCCAACAACGGGTCAAAATTTTGAATAATTATATATCTCAAAAATGCGAAATAAGCATCCAATTCTGTTCAAATTTCACACATCCGCACATTTTCGCTAACACAAGATCTGAGGTGAAGATGGGATTTATCGGCTCACTCATTCTGGTACCTCCCCCACAACGGGTCAACATTTTGAATATTTCTCATAAATTACGAAATAAACAACAGTTTCTCTTCAAAATTCACTAACGCAAGTTCTGGTGTGAAAATGATAGATATTGGCCTACGCTTTCAAGTGCCTCGCCCACAAACGGTCACAATTTTTACTATATAATTCATAACTTGCGAAAGAATATCTTGAATATCTTTTGATTTCCTTTGGGTTTTACCTGCGGAAAATTCCCCCAAACTTATCACACCAATCCCCCCAGCAACATCGCGGACTATCACCCGGGTGCTTGCATTCAGTAACTTTTGCTTCAAATTTTATACTGTTTCCTTTGCAACGCATATCCCTTTGGAAGTCAGCAGACAGTTTTTGTGCGACTTCTGTCCCAGTTGAGGTTCAGTGTGTGTGTGTGTGTTTCTGTGTATATGTGTGCGTCCATTGTGTTATTACAATTTGTATAATTAAATGCTTAAACTTTCATAACAATAAACGACATCCGCATACATACACACTCATACAGATAGATATGTGTACAAGTATGTCTCCGACTACGAACTGCTGTTGGAGAAACATAAAAAAACAAAAAATAAACTGCTGTAATGAATTACATGTTTAAATAACAATTAGATGTGAAACGCCAACTGGAATACCAAACGATTGGAGAGAGAAAGAGAAAGAGAGAGCAAAAGTTAAAAAGGTGAAATGGAGCGGAAAAAAGAAGAACAGAATTTAAATTCGATATCCTTTGCTGGGAGAGCATGCATTGCTTGGTTAATAAAGCTACATAATAAAGCATTTTCTTAAATATATATTTTTTAATTAAAAATTGTTAAAAAAAAATTTTTGTTAATTTATTATAATTTTAATAGCAGTGTATACGTGATATAAATAAGATTTCTACAAATACAGGGTGAGATAAAAAAAAAAAACTGCAACAAAGTCAAACGCCATAATTCTTATTATTATTATTTTTTTATTTAATTGAATGAAAGCAAAAAATGACGGAAATAGCATCAAATTTTAGAATAAGTTTAGATTTGTTCGAATTGGTCTCCTTTGGCACGAATTATGGCCTTCAAACGGCCAATTAAACCGTCACACGCTGCTCGGATGTAGCTCTGCGGTATTTTGGCCCATCTCCGGCGAAGCGCTTGCTTGAGGTGATCGGCACTTTGGTATTTGTTAGTGCCAACCTTTCTTTTCAAAATACTCCAGACACAATAGTCCAACGGATTGGTATCCGGGGATTCTGGTGGCCATTGTGCGCGGGAAATGAAGCGAGGAGCCTCATTTTGTAACCATTCTTGGGTGGCGCGTGCTGAGTCCTGTTGGAATGTCCAAAGACTACGGCCAAAATGTTTGCGTGCCCAAGGATGTAATACACCCTCCAAAATTTTTTCCGCGATAATATTCGGCATTTATTCTGATGTCACGGTCGATTAATACGAGCGGAGAGTGACCATCGGCTGTTCTTGCGGCCCACACCATCACCATGGCCGGCGCTTGAGTTCTGGCGGCCAACCGATGATGCACATTTTCAGCTGACCTCTTTGTAAATACGATAATTTTGTTTGTTTACAAACTACTGGACAACGAATGTTTTCTCATCGGAGAAAACGAAATTCGGCAGGTCACCACTTTCGACTAAGCGAAGCAACTCTTTAGCTCTTTCGAGTCTATTTTCTTTCTGTTGCGGTGTAAGTTCTCGCACTTTGCGAATTTCAATGGCTTTACCCCGAGCTCATTTTTCAATATTTGCCGAATGGAATATTGCGATATGTTCAGCTCACGAGCCATTTTTCGGCTACGGCGATGCGGGTTTCGATCAAGTCGCTTTCTTTACTTTTCGAACCATTTCTTCTGGTGTTGCTGTTTTCTTTCGTGCTCTACCTTGACGTCGGGCTACGCTACCAGTATCACGGTACGAGACACGAATGGTTTATTCACATTTAAATGCTGGAGTGCTCTAACGATAGCCACTTGTGGTTTTCCAGCCAAATATAAAGAAATCACACCATAACGCTTGAATTCTATCAGCTATAACTTATTTTCTGGAAAATTCTCACCATAATGCTTTTGTACGCTTGTAAACAATATAATGAGCTGTCTCTGGAATAATTTTAGCAGCTGTCGGACGAGTGGCTTAGAAATTACAGCAGTCTGAAGTTGGTTGCAGTTTTTTCATCTCACCCTGTATAAAATACCTTCCAACTTGCCTTCAGTGTAAATACTTTTAATACATTTGAGTATGAGTAATATCTCTTAATTGGAATGTACTACCACACACAATGAGTGGCGCAATAGGCAAAACTCAAAACATCTCAATTTCCATTAGAATTCATTAAAAATTATTAAGATGTTGTTGTAACACGGGCCAATCTGTGATTCATTCAATGACACCCCAGCGGGAGCTCTGCTGATTAATCATCAGCAGCAGAAGCAATAAAAAATATTTGCATTTTCTTGGCCCTCGAACAAAAATGACACACCAAAAGCTAACTGTCACAATACGTAATTATTTTCATCTTCATTAAACTGACATCATGAGTTGAATTCTATGGCAATTGACATGTTCCTGTTTAATTTGCGCAATTCGCAAAATAACAACGAACATGGTATTCATTACTCATCAAATAGTTGGAAAATTATGTACCCCCTCCCCCAAAAAGAAATTGAGTGATTACCTTAGACATTGTTAGCAATCAGTGTGTGGAAATCCCTTGATCATCTTTTACATCAAGCTTACCTCACTCAAGAAGAACAGGAAACTTTTCAATATGTGCATACCAGCTTAATAGCATCCCCCATTGTATGCATGGAGTTTTTTTTAGCATTTTTATCCTTAGAGATTTCTTGCTCAACAAAAATGTAACAACTTTTTGAAATACTTCAGAGAAAAAGAAAAGAAAATAAAACGAGCAAAAGATGACTAACAAAATACAGCCATTCAAGCATTAATAACAAACAATCCGTCTATTCTGTTTAATGGTTCGGAAACAGTCACTGACAGAGAAAGGATTTAACATGTTTATTCAGAAGATAGATGAAAAAATACAGAAAGTTTAAATGTCTTAATTTAGGGAAATCAAAATCATTTTCAAGAATAAAGAAAAATGTTAAGAGTTTTTTCTTGGCATAATTTTGTTTATAAGTTGTTTACATCGAAATTTTATAAAATTTTAGAAAACACACAAAGAATATTAATTTTCATAATTCCGATTAAAGTTTTTTTTTAATACCCAACATATAACAATTCTGTACCAAACCAGAATTTTTGGAAAATATAATAACTTTCATCCATTCCAAAATTATATTCCTATTTTTATTGCTCTCATTTCCTCTCTCTCACTTGTTTGCTAACCCAGCGGATTTTTTAGCACATACATCTTCCATCTGAGACCAATGACAATGTAGGTGCGACCCATCCAAAGCCTGTATACAATTTCTACTTACATTTACACAGCGATGGCCTAGGCCGTCAGACGAGTCCGAAATCTACCGACAATGTAAGCGAATGTTGGACGGGTCCGAAATCGACCGACAATGTAAGCGAATGTTGGATGGGTCCGAAATCTATCAACATTGTAAGCGAAGGTTGGATGGGTCCGATTCCATCAACATTTTAGATTGTGGAACTTAAATTTCAGCTGTTTTTTTATTAAAATATTCGTATTATAAAACCGTGTTTCAACAATAAAATATTCTTATTATAATTAGAAATAATGCATAAAAAAGAAATTCATAAAAGTTATTAAAAAGACGTGGGAAGAAACAAAGCTTAAACTAAAGAAAAAAATTAAATTCTTCCAGTTTTTTTTTTATTGTAGGACATTGTTCGGAAGTGTCTGGCCTTATGGAATTTGAAACAATTTCTAATTTTTTGGCGTAATTCTGTTCATTGAATCCTTCACATCGGACAGCTTCTGAAATAAGGATAGAAAATATAGAACATTTTTTTAATATTAAACAGTTATACTATAGAATAGACTAATGGATTACATTTTAAGGTAATATAATATCACTTTTCAATAAATATGTAAGAAAAAAGTTAACTTACCGAAAATGACCATATTTTAAAGTTTAAATTCCTTAAACGCCTTTTTATTTCGGGTACCATCATAGTTGTACGATAATATTATAGAAATGTCAATAATCTTGCAGAAGTTTTTAATAAGGACATCTGGTGAAATTATAATTTTTATGATACTAACCTGAAAAAAATTAAATTATTAATGGATTCTAACGGAGATTTTTTAATATTCTTACATATTTTCCAAAATCTTCTACAATTTTGGAATGCATGGAATCTGCTCATTTAGTCATTGTTTAATTGTTTTCCAAACAGTCCGTCCTCAACTGAGCTTTTCTTTTTAAATTGTCCGCTTCCACTTTATTTTATCGTCTTAAATTTCTCCTAATGAATCCTGACATTTTATTAAACTTATTTAACACACAAGACTTACTATATTCTTATTTTATTAATTTATTTTATTTTATTAACTTTTTTTCAATATTCACAACTTGCACTTTCAAAAACACTTCACAGAATAATTTTGCTTTTAAAAAGAAAGAAGCATCAAAAATGAATAACAACAAAAAAAAACTTTACAAAACAATACAAAGGCATCCGATTCAGATTGAAGTGCGATAGACACATTTTATTATATTTTGTTTTGTTTTTTAATTCTAATATGGATTTTGTTCCACAATGTAATAGCAATGCGACTCATCCAAATCTGATGCTAGTTGTATGCTATAAACCACTGTTATTTCATTTTTTCCTATTGACAAAATAGCATACATTCGGATGGGTATTAAATTGTAATGGCGAGCGGACTGCTGGGAACAATCTCAAATCCCATCACTGAAGGTAGAACTTAAATCAGCACTTCAGTGTTTGGTTTGGCTTTGTCTCTTGCTCTCCCTATTTCTTGTTCGAAATCTTCTTGCATTCCTATAATAGAAACGCTTACCATAGAAGAAGAAATTTCTTTGAAAAAATTTTAGCTTTTCTTTTATTCCAAAAATATGTTCTTATTTTGTCTATATTTTCGAAAAAATGTAAAACTTTTAAAAATTCAACAATCTTTCAGATTTTTAAAATTTTGTGCCTTTTATACATTCCAAAATTATATTTTTATTTGTTTGCCACTATTCGTGCTCATTTTCTCTCTCTCTCTCTCTCTCTCTCTGTCTTTTCTTTGACATACTATCTTAACCTCTCCACCGATGAGGGTGCTTAGTTTGGTATTTCAGCGTTTGTCTCTCGGTCCCTCTTTTCCATGTGTTCTCATTTAAAATCTCACCAAGAAGAGTTTTTTGTTTTTGGCTCTTTGGCTTATTTGTTTCTCATGTTGGCTAAACCATTAAAAACAGAGCGCCACAAAAAATGTCTGCTCTCTCTCTCTCTCTCCTTCTCTCGCAGACAAGATACTAATATTTCTAGCTTTAGGTATTGAGTTGCAGAAATCTGAACCTTATTAACGTTTTCTGACTGTTATATCGTTTGAAATGATCGAAAATTTGTCAAGTCTAAAATTTCTAATTATTTTCCGAAGCGTCTGACAGACATATGAGAGATCTGCTCTTTTTTATGTCGGATTTATCTTTCATATATACACGCGAGTGTTTGTAGAATTTTAAAATTTTTTCTTCTTATTCGTTCTTGCTCTATTAACCATACATAAGCCAAAGAACAAATTCAGTGGTTGTAAGAACTAGACTTCCGAAAAGTCGCTAAAATTTGAACAAATATTGAAACTCACTCAAATTCGAGCGCTCCTGGGTGCAGAAAAAAAAATCGTACAAACTCACTTTTTCGATATCACTCGCATTCTAAACTCCTAGAATGTTTCCTTCTGTTTTAAGTGGGAGCAATAGTCGTTCGAAATTTGATCTCCCCCCTTCCTCTCCCTATTACCCGCTTCCGCCTTTTCCACTTCAAGGATATTTACAAAAATGTTTAAATGTTTGATTAACAATTTTTTTTAGAATCATCAGTTGTTTGATCTTTAATTTATTTGGACTAGGCTCTGTCGGACTATAATCCAGGACTTTCTGAGGGACTATAATACTTGACTTTTTGGCAGTCTTCCCATAAAAATTGCTCGAATTCCAGCGAGAGCACTACAGAGCATGGTCCCCTCATTTTAGTGTTGGAACAAAATTAGCTTAAAATCGAGCATATTGAACTCTCGCCGAGTACTCTTTTAGTTTTTGCCATATTGTATTTGAATGTATGTATATTTTCACAACCCAAAACTGCCAAGGAATAAAAAACACGTTGAGGAGCATTGTCGGCAACATATACCAAAAAAGCACATAAAATCCACTGGTCTCTTTGATTTTGCTGATTTTTTCTTCTGCCCACAGTTCATTACAACATTAAAACCGGTTTGCTGTTACACACACCCATACGAATGAACCTACAATAATTGTTTCTACTCGATTTTTCTCTTAGAGTAAACGTTTACTCCATTTCGAGCAATTCGACCCCCACTCTAATTTTTCAATCAGGAGAAATTCCCCCATTAAAAAAGGTGTGAAGAGTAAACTCCGTATGAAACTTCCATTGATACTCCCGAAAGTTCTACTTTTTGGCATAGCATCCCATTCCGGATCGAAACTTGCTCGCGAGCAGAATCGAAGTCTACTCTTCAATCTTTTGTTTTGTGTGGCAGCTTCGCGAGTCACTCTTGTTTCCGCTAAGAGCAAAAATGAGTGGAATAAGTAATATATGAGTGAGTGCAACAGCAAACCGGTTTTGATTTTTCTGTGTACTGTGCAAAAATGAAAAGTACAAAAATAGAATCTGCTCGATTTGGAACGAACTTTGCTTCACTCAAAAACATGGAAAACTCGTTCACTCCTATTGGAACGACATCGAAAAATTGAGTTTGCTCGATTTATGTCTGCTCCCTGGAGCGCTCACGCTCGAATTCTAATGAGTTTCACTGTTTGTTCAAATTCGAACGAGTTACGGCTATACAGTTGGCTTCTAGCGATATTTTCTGCAGATCTACGTGTCTGGGTACAATGGAATTATTTCGGGATTGTTGGGCTATAAACGTGGGCCCTTGAGGGATCTTTTCTGAGGAACTACAATTAGAATAATACTAGATATATTTTTGAAGGACCATAATTCTCGATTTTTAGAACTATATTTTCTGGGGGACTATAAATGGTAGGCATAATTTAAATATTTCCGTGAGGACTATATTCATATTTTTCTAAGACTTAAGAGCTTTGATAGCCAATTTCTAAGAATTTTTAAGACTAAAATTTTTGATTTTATAAGGACTGTAATTTTCCTAAATGGGCCCTAAGTGGTTATTTCCCAATTATTGAGCTCCGAGTCTATCAAAAGATTCTAAGTACTCTCATTCAAGTATACCCAAGTAGCTGATAACCGACAAAACAATCTGACTTCAATTCACGTACTCACTAAAAGCTCATTTACGAGCTTTTAATGAGTACATAAATGCACGAGTTTAATGAAAACAATGTTTCATACCTAATTAAACAAATTAGCAACCTTCAATGACAATCAATTAATGCGTTTATAGCAACTAATTGCAAAAATCATAAAAATCTTCAAAAGCCAACTACCAAAAAAAGTGGCTACTAAATGTTGCTGCTGTTCTGTGTGTGTTGTTGTTGTTGTAGGTTATGCCATGTCCGACAACAGCAATAGCATTGGACATGCAATGCATTCCAAATGAATAACCAGAGAATACTTGAATGCGGTGTAAGAACTATGAATACCTTGTGTCCGGACTGGATGACGGACTGTCTCACTGTCTGTCTGCCTGGTTGGCTGGCTGGCTGGCTGACTGACTGCAATGCCACAAATTGAAACATACATTAATTTATTTAACGCCGTCATCGCTTGCTTCGTTTCTTGTCGGTTGTCTGCGAATTATTACGGGTGTGTTGCGTTTTTACGATACAAAGAGAGGGTGTATATTTTACGTAGAATAAGAAAAATGTTCGATACATTATAGCAAATTCCAAAGGGGCCTTTAATGGAGAAAAAAATAATTGACCTTAGATATATATGGATTGGTATTTATTAAATTCGATAAGTGTTTTATTAGTTTTATAAAAGAACCGGGGCTTCCGAGGGCCTTAGAGAGTGAGATGAAAAAACTGCAATCAACTTGAGACTGCTGTCATTTCTAAGTCACTCTTCCGACAGCTGTTAAAATTATTCCAGTGACAGCTCATTATGTTGTTTACAAGTGTACAAAATCATTTTGGTGAGAATTTTCCAGCAAAAAAAGTTATTCGTGACGGAATTCAAGCGTGATAGTGTGATTTTTTATATTTGTCTGGAAAAACAAAAGTGGCTATCGTTAGAGCACACCAGCATTTAAATGTCAATAAATCTTCTGTGCCTCCTAAATCTTCTGTGCCTCGTACCATCGCTCTTTACCGATTACGTGATACTGGTAGCGTAGCCCCGACGTCAAGGAAGTGGACGGAAGTAAACATCAACATCAGCAGAAATGGTTCGAAAAATAAAGAAGCGACTTGATCGAAATCCGTGTCGCAGTGGCCGAAAAATGGCTCATGAGCTGAACATATCGCAATATTCCATTCGGCAAATATTGAAAAATAAGCTCGGGGTAAAGCCATTGAAATTCCAAAAAGTGCAAGAACTTACACCGCAACAGAAAGAAAATAGACTCAAAAGAGTTGCTTCGCTTGGCCGAAAGTGGTGAACTGCCGAATTTGGTTTTCTCCGATGAGAAAACATTCGTTGTCCAGAAGTTTGTAAACAACAACAACAAACAAAATGATCGTGTTTACTTGCCAAAAAGGTCAGTTGAAAATTTGCACCTTCGGTTGGCCACCAGAACTCAAACGGCGACCATGGTGATGGTGTGGGCCACCATAACAGCCGATGGTCGCTCTGTGCTCGTATTAATCGACCGTGCCATCAGAATAAATGCCGAATATTGTCCCGAAAATATTCTGGAGGGTGTATTAAAGCCTTAGGCACGCAAACATTTTGGCCGCAGACCTTGGACATTCTAATAGGACTCAGCACCATCGCACTCAGCACGCGCCACCAAAGAATGGTTACAAAATTAGGTTCCTCGCTTCATTTCCAGCGCACAATTACCACCAAAATCTCCAGATACCAATCCGTTGGACTACTGTGTCTGGAGTATTTTGTAAAGCAAGGTTGCCACTAAAAAATGCCAATGTGTCGATCACCTCAAGCAAGCGCTTCGCCGAGAATGGGCCAAAATTCGCAGAGCATCATTCGAGCAGCGTGTGATGGTTTCATTGGCCTTTTGAAAACCATAATTCGTGTCAAAGGTGACCAATTCGAACAAATCTAAACTTATTCTAAAATTTGGTACTATTTCCGTCATTTTTTGATTTCATTTAATAAAATTTTAAAAAAGTAAAAATTATGGCGTTTGATTTTGTTGCAGTTTTTTTATCTTACCCTGTATAGGGAAATAAACAAATAAGATCTGATATTGTGATCTTTGACGAGAAGTTGTCGTTTTAGAGTTTAAAGTCGTCAATTAAACACAAGCTGTTAAAAAAGGTGTATAACGTGGAAGTCATTGTAGGTGGGTGTGACAAAAGTCCACAGCTACAAAAATAAAAATTTCTGAGTCCAGAACAAATCCTTGCGAAAATCCGACTTATTTTTTATTAAGAAAACATTAGCGCAATATCTTTTGTAGAGAAAAGTTATTTTTACTCAAAAGAAAAGGAAACTCCTTTGGGTCTCTTAAAAAAGAGTTAAACATGCCGTCGAGTGGTTTGATTCCCATTTTATTTGCAAATAGTCGATCT